CTCTTCGACGTCTAGCGCGCAGCAAGTTCTCCCCCAGAGCCTCTCCTGGACCTTTAAGAGTGTCTCTCGATACTACACGTCGCTCCGAACACATCATTTTGAAAAGTCATGACTAGGTGAAAAGAAAACTGTCCGACGTCAGGATTAGGCCTGTTGGGCAAGAGCTTCTTTGCAACAGCAAGAAACTCCACTCTCGAGAACTATGCTGCTCAGTAATCACAAGTGAGATTCCCGAATGTTCGAGCACCGGTACTGCTGAACCTATCCACGACACAAATCAGTGGAGATATATTGTCAGCAAACTCCAAATCGGTGTGAGGGCCGAAGGAATTAGTCGCCTTTCGAGGCCGGCTCACCTCTTGACTATTCGTACTCCCAGGCTACTCCAGGTAACCCTTGATCCTCCGAACATGGTTAGAACTACCTTGGAATCCTGGTATGATGTATCCGACACACTTCCTACAGAAATAAAGATAGGTGAGCGCAGACCTAGGAAACGGAGGCAAACTGAGAGGCAACTCATGTGCTTACCGTTGGCCAACCCACATTTAACGATAGGACGGTTGGACGATGAGCAAGAGTTTTTGTCGACCCTGTTTCGGATGGAAGAGACCTGCACTAGTTCTCGGTCAAAGAGATCAGTGGATCTAGGAGCCCTTGGTTCCACCGCCTTATCAAAGGCAGGCAACACACTCTTAATCCAACCCGTTTCTGGGACCTCCGGCCTTCATACTCTTATTTGTTGTACCCATGGTGGTTTGCGATGCCTGCGCTCCAAGATACCTGAGTTAAGGTCGTTAGTTTATGGGATAGCCCTTGCATAGTGGCTTTATGTGAAACATTGCTCACATAGTGCATAAAAGAGGAGGAAGTTGGTTTAGGACAGCTCAGCCTAATCCGAAAGGATAGACCATAGGGCCCAGGAGGTGAGGTTGCTCTTTACAACTGCCCTTCCCTAAAAGTCTATGAGATTCAATTCGATAGAACCGGCACTAAAGATGTCCTCTGGTGTAGCGTAAAGTGCTGTGGAGGCCCGTGTTTAGTCGGAGTCTTGTATCCCCCTCCTGCAGCAGATGCCACATTAAATAAAATGTTAATGCAGTCCACTAAGAGAGCCCTGGAACTGAACTTCCCACAGGTCCTCGTCATGGGAGATTTTAACTTTCCTCAACTCTACCACAGGAAGTCCATCTGCTACTCCAAAGACATTCGCGAATTATTACTGTAAAACTCCTTGACCGAACATGTCCTTTAGTGTACTTGCTGGGGGTTTGACGGTGAGGCACCCCGACTAGATTATAGTTTCACAAATCAGTTCGTCGAAGTAAGCAGCTCGAATGTTTTCGGCCCTTTGGCCTGAGCGACTATGTAGTTGTCCCCTTTAATGTTTCTACGTCTAAGCCACCCGTTCCCCATCAGCTGCTAGCCGGGAATTACAGGAGAACTGATTTTGAGAAGGTCCAGCAAGATCTACAAGGTTCCGCTTGCTTAAGTTGCGACGACCTACTGGATCTTGATACTAGACGGGATCTGCTAAAGAACATAATCCTCTAGGCGAAAAAATATAACATTCCTCTGATTCCAAGAAGGACCAGCAAGTTCTACTCCTCCTGGCCTGAGTCAAGCACGCACAAACTAATAAGGCATAAACTGCCATCTTGGAACCTATTGAGGTGCACTAATAGCCCCGTTGACTGGCTAGATTATAAAGACATCCGTAACAGATGTACATTAAGAATCGGAAATGATAGAATATGATACCAGACACAACTCCGTAGGACCCTGGAGCGGAATCTTGGGATACTGTACTCGCTGACGAAACAGAAGAGTAGCAGTTCACTTAGTTTACAGAACGCCGTCAGTTTAGGGATTCTCCATTCTAACTCCGAAGTAGCAAACCCACCACCTCATGAATTCCAGAATATATTCTGTCATTTGAGAGGTAAAACCACGCACCTGTTGGACACCTGCATTATGGAGGGGCTAAACCGTATAGAGTTTGGAACCTCTATTACTGTGGGGAATACTAAGCAAACTGAACCCGAACAAGTCTCCATGAGTTGATGGGATTCGCCCAAGAGCACTAAAAGGGTGTGCTGAAGTCTTGCGCGCCCTGGCGGCAAACCTCTTCAAATGCTCGTTTCTAAAAGGCAGGTTACCCATTGATTGGAAACGGGTGGCTGTCGTCTCCATTTATTGAGGTGGAAACAAACTACTTGCCTCCAACTACAGACCGATCTCCCTCATCCTCTCAATTGCAAAGGTAATGGGGAGAGTCATTAAACGATCACTAACTCAAGAAATCAATCTTTGAACGACTGTCAACGTGACTTTCTGCCAGAAAAGTTATGTAACGCCAACTTGTTCATAACTTAGAATAGCTGGACACTATGTCAAGCAAAAGATCCTATTCATGTTGGTTTACTTGACTTTTCTAAGGCCCTCGACAGAGTAAATCATGATATCCCTTGTAAGAAACTTCAGCTCATGGGTGTACACCGAAAACTGTTGATTTGGCTTAGAGGTTATCTTTACACCAGGTTGCAGTCAGAGTTGGCTCCTCTCTATATAATTGGTTCCCGGTGCCGAGTGGTGTGCCTCAAGGTTCTGTACGCAATATAGTATGCTGTGGAACAAACTTCCCGCTCCTATACGAGCATGTCGATCTCTCCGCCAGCTTCAACGATTACTTAGCAAATTCCTCCTATCTAACGATTCTCATCAATTCGTTGACGGCCAAACCACAAACGGTAATACCATGCACAGTGGTGCTACTGGTACCCAGACTCAAGGGAGACTAACAGCAGTGACAAAAGTATACAATGCCGAAAACTAAACGCACTAGTTAGGTCAAAATCCACTTTCTAAAAAAACTGACCAAGAGTGAACAGGAGGCGGAGTGCGATACGATTTGCAACAGTGAACTCAGTAGCCACTCTAATGTAACCTACACTTCTTCTTAGCCTAACTGATCTCACGGCTTAACACCTATTTCTTAAATTTTTTCTCTGAAAGTAATCTCTTCATTCCTGATTGATAAATGAACTGTTTGTCGGTGGATTTTCATAGCATGTAAAATGTTTTATTATTCGCCCTTTGTTATCAGTACTCACATGTAAGTACTCTGCATCACCGTATTGTCTTGGTAGCCCGGATATGGTAATACTCAATGGGCAACACCATGACCATCCCTCCCCGTGACTAGATAAAGTGCGGTTACCGCCTTAGAAAAAACCACGAATTTCACCCAAATGTTTATGACTTCATCAAAAGTTTGTACACAGGTATATGACAAGTGAATACCTGGTACAAAATCCTCTAATCTCTCTATTTCGTAGAGATAACTTCGGCTTCAGACTAATTTTCATTACTGTCATGTGCACCTTCATCTTCTTCTACCTAAGCTTACTTCTAAACAGTTGGTTCTGGATACTTCTTCAAGTAGGTTTTGTAGTCAATACAAAGAACTCACCCAGATGTATCATAGTTAATCTACTCCTGAGTGTGTTTGTGCTCCTATTTCGAATTTCGCCTGCTGCTCGCTTTTGTCATTCACTTTTCAGGTCCACCTAACCAGCCCTGCATTCAAATGGAATCCTACAAATCGCATTTGTCAGTGGGAACCTTGCTGTCGAAACCTTGTGACGAGCGCGCACACCTCAAGGCCATGACTGCAATGCGGCCCCACCTTCAAGAATATTAGAAGATTCAAACGATAACCGGATAATCTTCAAATTCCAACTGAGTCTGTTTCAACACACCTCTTATGTGCCATGCATAACAGTATCTAATGTATAGCTTAACATTGTACATAGTAATCATTTCTCATTACCAAAATGATCAAACCTGTAAACTGGTTTGTATTCATGTAACCCATGTTGCATGAAATATATATATATATATATATATATATATATATATATATATTACTACTATTTCTCGCGCTTATCAATGACTTATCAGGCGCCTCTAATTCACATTCACTATAATATGCCTATGATCTGAGGGTTTGGAAGGAAATAAAGGAGCCAACGGATATTTCGGTCTTCCAAGAAGACCTTACTAAAATCCTTAGTTAGACTACAAAAAACCTGCTTCCTCTCAACTCAGAGAAGTGTCGAAGTATGATAGTTGACATAGAGGCAGTCCCATTTCTTACTGTCTGGATGAAATAAATACCAGTCGCTCCAACATGGAACAAGGTCTGGGAGTTACACTAAACGATATGCTCGGAGCCTCAGCCTACCGTCGCCTTGCAGCCAGAAGGGTTTATGGAGCCACAGGGTTCCTCTCGCCAACTTCAGGGTGTCTAACTTCTCCTTTTTTCACCACAGTGTATGCTCTGTACCTTCACCCCATCAAGAAAAAAGTTCGCTCGTGATGTCCCCATACTTGAGAAGTGACATAGCCATCCTAGAGCGGCAGTGGAAGAGCTACAAAGAAAGTAATTGGGTTACGGCACAAACCGTACCCAGACCGCTTAGTAGCTCTTCAGCTGCACCCAGTACAACACCGGAGGATCAGAGGGGACATGACTGTGGTGTACTACATCGCCCATAATACCCTTCACCCTAGCAGATCACTTCTAAGCTTTAGTTGGAAACGCGACCTGAGGGGTCACCCATCAAGAATAGAGCACGAGAGAGCATGTACAAAGATACGTGCCAACTCATTTGCGGTTAGAGCCTGAAAACTGTGGAACTCCCTCCCTTAAGCAGTTGTTACGGACCCATCCCCTGATACATTTAAAAGGAGGCTAGACGCATACCTCGAGTCCTAGGGTACCGGTGGACTGCACTCGAGAGGCTTTCCTCAGATCAGACACAGTAATACTAACCTGAGACCAGATCAATTAATTGATCGTATCTGTATCACTTCAGGTTTTTCAGAACCAGGTAGATAATTGTGACCATTTTAAACTCAGAACGTATTCCAATAAGACAGACATAGAACCCAAGGAACCGCAGTTCGTTAATTCTACAACATGAAGTTTGAAGTTTGAAAAAGAAATACGCGCGCCATGTGGTTTATGCGTTCCTAAATTCTGGTAATTCTCCCGGGCTTCTTTTCAGTTGAGGCTTGAAGTTGTGTTATTTCATCCAACTGGTGTTTTAACACAATGACTAAAATATAGTTCCTGCTTCCAAACGGATTTGACAATCAATTACTTTACCATCGAAAATCATGGTTCCTCAAACGAAAGTCCTTTTTGACTTCAATTTGTGTAGAGTCAGATGAGGGGGAAGAATATTCTGTGGACATTTTTGTATAATAAAGTTTAACAGAAGTGGAGGGAGTAGGTATTAACCAACACCAGTGGACGTGGACAACTTGATAGTTCACTATAGACTTCGCGTATAGATGTTCTACTGTAAACCTGTCGAGAGAGTGATGCTGTTTCCTGGGCGTTGTTTCCAGTGAAACACACCGCCATTAGGTCCCGTAATCACCTGAATCGAACGTCGCTTTCAGGTTTAAATACCTGGAGCTAATGTGTCTGTCCCGAGACCTGGTTGAGTGAAGGGATGTGGTTTCCATACCCATGATTGGATCTGAAAACTTCCTTTCTAACCCAACTTTACCACTCTTGAACTTCGTTTAGGCATCTGGCAGATAATTAGCCCAGATTCCTAGGCACTACGTTCATCAGGCTGATTCTTGAGTTTCCTTCTTTCTGAAGATTAGGATAGTCGACAATTGAGACCACCAAGACTGAATCACATCTCATTTTCGTACGCCACCAAACTTTTATAAATCTAACCAGTTGTCTTTTGCAATTGTCCTTTAATATGTCGAGAATAAACCGACAAGGATTTGGTACCTATTTTCGTTTCAGGTTACGTACAGCTTTCTCAAAGTCTGCAAACGTTGAAAGCTCTGTCTCAGGGTTTAGTTGTGTAAGACTAAAGTCGTGAAACTGGAGACTAGATGGGAGGCCTGTTGATTATCGGAGTGTTTTGTCCATCTTTTTATTTACCTTTGTATGATGTGTGGAGCAGTTTCATCAAATCCAACATCAAAAGTTCGAGTATAAGAAACCAATAAGTTCTGATCTAGCGTCTGGTTTTTGAGCTTCGTTCTTGTTGTTTTATTTCGCTTTTGTAGTGGGGAAGGAAAACTATTCTGCTTCCCTGCTTTTATCCCTGATGAGACAAGTGTTTTCTGTGGGTTTCTTATGCAGCACACGGACTGAATAGGTTAGGTCACCCGCTGTTGGGAATGTTAGGCATCTATTAGTGACTCCCGGCTGAATGGAACTAGCGAAGTAGTGGCAAAGGGTGTATGGAACGTTCCCGAAGAATTAAATTAAACATCGTTAGGCCACACTGACCAACATGGTTGTCTGACCTTTGGAATGAATTTACTGAGGAGGCTGTAACTGTGGCTTGCGGCGAAACATCCCATGAAGCACAAGCTCTTTATGAAAAATTTGACCTGAGCCTCATGATGGTTCTCGGATGAGCTATTCCGATGTTCCTTTGTGGTGGCTGGCGTTTTGCAGGTGAAGTCAGCTTGTTCATGTGACTCGCTTGATGGATGATATTTCGAGCCACAAGAAGGTCACTCCTCTTTCTGAGAAAGCCTAAAGTAAATAGGTTTAGGCATCCATGTCTGTCGAAATGCTTTTTTTCCCTTCGGTCTGACAAGTTTTTCAGATCTTTGCTTTTCTGTAATAGACCCTGAGTCTCTTTTGAGTGCCAGGTCTACTACTGTAGCTAGTATTTCTAGATGCGGCCACACATTTGATTCGCAAACTGTCAGAAATAGGGCTGCAGTGAGAGCAGTGAGCTGTCTGCATAGGAAGTGTAGTGGCATTTACTTTGGCTACCAGTCGTTTACAATTAGAGCTGGTGTTTAGCGTTTCGTGAAAGTTGAGCTTCAGGTCTTTTTCGTGGACACTGATCTCACAGTTGCTGGACTTATATTCGCCCGGGGTTATTCTCACTTCGTTGATCCGGATTTGCATTGTTTTTGACCTTTGCAAGCTTAGGCTCAAGTCATCTGACGACCAGAGTTTTAATTAGTGCAGGTCGTTTCGGAGTATTCCGTGATCAACTTCCCAATTAATAACCCTCCAATTTATGTCGACAAAAGGATAGACACGCTATGGAATCTTCTGTGATTTGATGAACAGAAGGAATATAAGTGACCTCAGGATTGCTGATGGATGGCCACAGGGATTATTCCCTCAGGTTTCCAGTGTTCGTCTCTTGCGGGATGGTTCCACTTGTGAGATAATCTCTTATGGTTTCCTAGTTGACCTTGCTGTAGCAAGGAAAGGCATTCGGTGTCTCCGGTTGCATAGCCTCTTTAATTTTCTTAGTTTATTATTGGATGATCACTGCGGCCAAGACGCAACTGGACCCATTCTCAATGTGAAAATTATCGTTCGCCAGAACAGTTCAGATGTGATACATTACTGCTAGACATCCAACTTATGGTATTATCCATTTTTTCAGAGACCGACTATCTGAAACGCACTTCTCAGCTTCTGACTGAACGTTCTGGTAGCGTATCTTTCTTCCATCCCAAAATGAATGGTCAGTGTGTTGAAGTCGCCAGTGATGATTAAAGAATCGTAATCTGCAGAAGTTGTAGTCAAGACCGCGTTAATGATCATTTCCTTATGGTTAGTAGTACTAGTTTTGGATCTATATGTAACTCCTAGCGCGCATTTATTGCGACGAAGAGAGAATTACCTCCATAAGAATTCCGAACTTTGAGTAAAAGCTGGATCGCTCATCTCTTATCTTTAAATGAGAGTTTAGAGGAGTAACCTCATTATCCATATCTTTATCAGACAGTTACTAAATTGTCTATAGATTTGAGTTTTGTTGCTAAAGTATCATGCCTAAAACTTTGAATTTCTTGCTGTCACATCCTTTTTATTGTCTTATATTAGCTCTGTAGCTGTTTCTATTGTAATATGTATTATCTTGCAGAGATTTCCCAAGCCTATCACCATTCAAATATTGTCGAAGTTAAAGATCTTATTTAACCCAGATGAACTGTAAGTACTAAATGCACTTACTAATGGTTTGATAATGTATTTATCGAAAGGTATTTTATTATTTGTAAATATTTTCCCTCTGGCATTTTGATTATGCAAATGAATTTGAAAGGACGTTGAATTTATTTTTTCAGTACAGTAAATTGTGCGTACTGATAAATGTATACGTTCCTAGTACTCAATAAATGCGTGATAAAATAGGGGGATACTGAATATAAGAGCTAACTCACATTATTCCTTATACAACCAATACATTGGATAGAAAAGAGACTCACTTCCTGTATGTTTCTTAACCGCATGGCAGATAGAGTTAGTAATTTTTGAAAAGCTTGAATACTGAGGATCGTTGCATATGTATTGAGAAGCTAAGCTCGACGAAAAGTACAGATATTTTTTATCTACTTATGGATGATATATCAGTGACTTAGCATTTTTAAAGATCTTCAAACTTGGCTAAGAGTTCTAGGAAAAATAACCACGCATCAGTCAAGCATAGAATGTCCGAATGTTCTCCTCTAAGATTATAAAAAGTGGTTTACTGGCTGGTGTTAAAATTTTTTCTGTAATTTCGTAATGCGACTTTGAATGACAAAGTTACTGAGATTTAAAATGAGTAAATCCTTTTCAGTCAGGTTGCGGAATCTATTTCTTTCTATTAGTTGGGGTTACGTACTGCGTTTTCTGAATCAGCTGTCAGCCTTTTTTGATGACACGAATAACCGACGGTAACCATGACTTGGATAAGCCATTAATGTTATTGTTCTCACTGTATTGAAGTAATTGATCTATAGTCTATGCAAATTACGGCCGTAAGAATTTTTTCCTTCCTGAATGTAACTACTGATCACTGAAAAACTGTACCCTTCAGGTTTTCATTGCAAAAAGACCTGGTTGTTATTTAATTTTTAAATCTAGAGTACTCTGCATATAGACTCAACAGTTTTTATACTTGCCGTCCTAATTAGTTGCTTTAGTCACCTACGACAACGCAGTATTTATTTCGTTTACTCCACTCAGTTTATTTCAGGATGACGTTAAGCTTGTTAGGTTTTGGGTCATGTTATGAAACGACTAACTTGTGATTAGTATCTGATAAGCATGTGATTGATAACATTTTCTGTTAAATTATGTGTATGCCTATTTTTAGAAACTTGGCTTCTTTTTAGCGATTTTTCGTTCTCATTTACTGTAGCATTCAATGACCAGGCTTGTGCTCTGTGTGGAAAAGTTGTTTCTACCAAACATGGTATGGCTAGACATTTAAAAATCGTGCACGAAGGTAAGTTTTAGACTTATCATGCACGTTTAGTTTATATTCTTAACATTATCCCTTCCTGTTATCTTGCATATCAAAAGAATGCTGTTTTTTTGAGTTATTATTACTGTTTACAAATCATAAAAAGGATCATGCCTGTAATACTGGCATCCATTCATACCCATTAAGCTATTTAAAATAAATATTATTATTGTTATGTGTTACTTTGTATCTAGGGTCTGTGCTGACCTACCGTTTGCTGACATGTGTTTCCACATTTCATTCCTTTTTGTAAATCTTAATAACGGAGGTTTGAATTTAAATTTGTTGTCTGTAAATTAAAGATCTTAAAGTACTCATGGTATACGTGATGAGTATTTTAATTTGAACTCATCTTTGCCTTCTTCCTACATAATGCTACTGAAATTATCGTAGATGCAAGCACTGTCGAATAAATCAGTGCACACTCAGGATGTGCAGATACTTTGAGAATTGTTTTCTCATTATCAAATCTTAGGACGCTGACAACGGTTTCAAGAGTATAGTCCTACCAACTGCTCCACATTTAGTTTCAACCAACTGTGGGTCGTGCATATGTTCTCATAAAACAAGGTAAGATGCCTTTAGCAATCATATGCTATGTGATAAGTTCTAAATAAAAGAGTGAAACTAGATGCAGAAATCCACAATTAGGCCCATTCAGCTAAAATCTCCGTTGAACCGACTAAGAAAACTCACTGATAGCTTTTTGCTTGCAAATAAACCCACAGGTGCAAATAGCACAGCTTAGAAATAAGATAAATAGTCACAATCGTAAACAAGTTTATTTCAACACATTTCTTTAAAAGTAACTTGCATGATGGAAAATAAGTATCCACTGAAAACTATCTGATCAAAAGAAAGATTGACCTATTACAACAACTAAAAAACAAGCATCAATCAAACATAAATCCATCTTTCAATTTTGTATATTTTTTGGAGAGCTATTTATTATCATTAACTCAAATTACATATCAAGTTGTATACCGCGTATACCGTGTTATGACAATTATTTTATGATGTAAAAATACAATATACTATTAGGAGATTCTAAAACTCTTAAAACAAGTATCTGGGTGTCTTCTCAAGCCTAAGCACCGTGGAAATTAGTAGGCTTGTAGAATGTGATGAATTTATTGCATTTCTTTAAATTTTATCCAGCTATATTTAAGTAAATACAGTTGAATAGTTTCTAAAAATGTCGATAAAGGTTAACACACTTAAATTTACGAGTAAAATTCTATGGATAGGGATACAACTAAAAAGTAATTCCGACACTGAAGTGTCCGTACTGACACAATAACTTTGAAAGGTTGCATTTTTAGCACACATCGATAACTCCAAATATAAATGAGCAAGCCACCCTGCTTAGTGAACGATTATATTTATCAATTGCAAAATGTATATTGGTAGTTATTTTCTGTCGGGAGTAAGAGTTATCATATAACAAGCAGTTAGAAACTTCGTGAAGTATAAGAAATTTACATACTTTATTATCCTTAGAAACATTGAAGTGTCATGACATGTCAAATAGGAATGATGAATTGGGTCTAGAGAAGGATGATAAATGCTTTAAAACGTGATCGTCTGCAACAATCTCAATTGGTTTATCGATACGTGTAATGATTAAAACCATAACGCAGAAATGTTTACTGCTGTCTACACTAATCATATGCATCAATCAATAGAAAATAAGGTTAGATTATTTGAAATCAGATGCTTCATTTGATCTTAAAAACTAAAAGGATTTCTAACTTCTGTTCCACTCTTGTAAATTTCCTCTGGATTACCAAATATGCCGTTTCACTTCACCCTACAGGTCTTGAAGAATGTAAGTGTGATTCTTGTGGTCGGAAATTTACAACAAAGTTTGCTCTTCATCGACATATTCGAAAAGTTCACGAAGGTAGGTTAGAGTGTAACTTTAAGTCATACTTTTATTTTGCACAGTTTCACATTGTCATATTAAGTCTATTCGGTAACAGCCGATTAGTTGCTATGGTTACAGAAAGCAATTCTTCTACACTTATCCTCCAACGCCCATAACAGCTTGAGTTGAGACACTATAACCAGTCATATTTTCAAGATAAACCGCTAATCTTTTATGCCATCGTAGCGAATGTTAAGACTGACTGACTGATAAAATCAACGTAGAACCTCGCACACAAATGTATCGGCTCAATCTATCACACTTCACAGTAGTATGCAAAGTTGTAAGAGAGAACAAACAATCTGAAGATAATGGTTAGTGGAAATATTCAAGCTTTAGAAGATATCAATGAGTGAATAAAGCTGCGCAGTTGTGACCGATTTTCATCCATGTCACCAAGAGTCCTCAACCGTTGATTCCTTTCGTCTCGGTGACCTCAACCACGCAGTCTACATCTCCCCACACGATTCAAATCAACGGTGAGAGACTTCATGGATTGTTGCCACGTCTTGATTTCGCCACCGTGAACCCTCTTCCAAGCTAATCCAGTTTCTCCTAGCATAGCGCGTTGATGTAGGTGGTGGCTGACCGCGCGCAACACTTGTCCAAGCCATCTCAGTCGACTAACTTTCTCAACCTCATCAGTTGGCTTGTCTGTGTTGCTTATTACCCTTCGCCTGACCTTAACATTTGCTCACACGAAGATCCCACCAAATGCGAGCAGTGCTACGAAGACATCTGTGATCAAACACCTACAATCGTTTCATGTCCTCTACTTTTAACAGCCATGTCAGCCGTGAAAACGGACAACAAACTGAAGCACGGTATACTCGTCCTTTGATAGATGGTCAGATATCTCGCCAGTTAGCGCCATAGATGATGCAAGTTGGCAAATGCCAAACGAACCTATATCTGAGCTGAGATTTCATCAGCAACCATCTTGTTCGGGTTGATGCAACTTCCCACATGAGTGAAGTGGTCGACACATTCCACCACCTCACTCCCTAACATGGAACTTGGACTAGTTGCAGACCAGTTTTGGGGCACCATAATTCACTAGACAGGTGCGAAACGCATACTAAACACTCAGATTTCTGCTGAAGGCGTTTAGAAGACTCTGGATTGTGTCAGCGCCTTCACCTAGCATGAAAATATCGTCTATATACTACAAATCAACCAGGTGACCTCCAGAGAGTAGTTCAATCCCTGTGAAGTTAGACTTACATAGGGTTATGTCTCTTAATACGTCTGCGATAAATTTAAACAGGAACGGTGGCAGTGGACACCTGGTGAACACCACTAATTGTCGTCAACTCACTTGACAACTCTCCATAAGCCATGACACGGCTGCGGGCGTTCGAGTAGAGAGCTTTGATTAATGTTACATACTCCGTACTCCCTTCACAGTCAGACACTGCTGCAACACTTTATAGTCGACTGAATCAAATGCCGCTGTTAGGTCAAGAAATATGACTGATGCTGGTCACCAGCAGATATGCCCATATCCCAAAACCTGTCGTAGGCTAAAAATGTGATCAGTTCACCCTCGTCCAGGTCCGAAACCTGCCTAGTTTCCTCAGGTCTGCTGTTCTCGATCTTCAGTTTGGCGTTAAATAACTATCTACCGTGGGATCTTAGACACAATACTAGTCAAACAAATTCCCCCATAGTTGTCACAAGGAGAACTCTCTTCATACTTATAGACTGGGATGATCATTAAAACAGATCTGTCTGATAACACTACCTCTGATTCCTATACATTACATAGTACCTCAGACACTGTAATTAGCGATTTCCCACCTCCTTACTGAGAAACTCTATGTGACAAACTGTCAGGTCCAGCTGCTTTGCTTCCTTTCAGCCTTTTCAACTTCAAGGAGAATTGGAGGACCGACTTCTACGTCCCATTCAGGTTCAGGCTGAATCCTGAGCAACTGAAGTGTAACTGGAAACCAGTTGAACTGTGCTTCAAAGTGTTCCGTCCAACCTTCCAGCCGCCTGTCATTGGAGGTTATCACCGTCCCACCCTTTTCGGTGATGGTTTCACTAACCGTCGTTTTCTTCTTGCCGGTATCCCTATAAGCCTAAGTGGTTGCAGGATGTTACCTAACGCAGATGCTTTTTTCATCGCTCTCGTTCTTTCCACTCGCTACTACTCGCGATCATTACAATTCACTTTTAAGTTACTTACGCCCTTCATTGTGATCAGGGCGAGCTGGAATCAGTCTTCTCTCATCTATTAGTTCGGATGGTGTTGCGGAAATCCAGTGACGTTCGCTAACCTTTAGGTGTAGGTTATCTAGTGTCGTTACCGCTGTTTCTACGATAGACTTAATATCGCTCCAAGTTTTCTGAGAATGGGGATTGCTGTCATATTTAGATAAATGCTTAATTATCTCTTCTTCAAATTGAACTTGACATTTTTATCTCCTAATTGGCCATAAATAGGCTTTGCTACCGCCTGTTTCCTTAAACCATTAAGGTGCAGACATACACGAGTACGTACTAGCTCGTGATCATCAGCCGGTAGGTGTGTTTGCTAAGATCACGAGTAGGGATCGCCTAGTATCACGATGCTGAGCCCCCTAGCTTGGTAAGTACACTGCACATATTATCGATAGGATTCAGTCTGCACTCAGGACTAGACAGCGTGAGATTGGCTGCTCTCCCGTGACCAGTCCTACAGGAGGTCGATTGCGGCCCTAATAGCTCAGTAGTAAAGTCGTTGACTACGACATTGGGTGACGCGGGTTCGAATCTTGGGAGGGACATCAATTCCGTTGAGGTTACAGATTCGCCTTGCTGACGAGTCCCAACAAGCACGAAACCTAGGTCCAGGGCTTTCTGCCGATTGCTTCCAACCAGTTAAAGCCTCACAATCCTTCCTATTCCTCACAGATCCATTTAGTTGAATAGCACATAGACGGCTGTTTACTGGAATCATCCAGTCGAGGAGCTCGCTTTCCGCTTTACGAATCAACGCTATGCCTACATCGTTGAGTCCATGTGAGCTTGCCATTATACCTCCGAATACTATTAAAGTGGATTTTGAAGACTCACTACCATAGCTACGTGAAGTCAATTTAATAACCACACTCGAGTCCTGTGTCTCAGAAACACACCATACATCCATGGCTCGAGTTTTAAGAGTTCCTGCAAGCGATATCCTTTGTCAGACTTGGTATAGGGCTCGGAAGTTGAAAGCTCCTACATGAAATTGATGACCGGATCTTAAAAGACTAGGAATGAGGTTTGATGGCTTTTATCGTTGACAATAGTTGGAGAATAGGAAGCTGGGTAGGCCTAATATTAGTATCAGAAGGTGAGGGCGAAGGAAAAGCTGAGAATGGGTTATGTTTGATTGTTTTGTGGATAACTGGAAGCGTGTGGGTGGTCGACTCTTACCGGCTGCCCACACCCTAGAAGACTATTTGTTCCCAAGGTACCTGGAAGAGAAAAATATTCGTATAACCAAAGAGCTCATGGGACATCTGTTTGAAAACTGTCACGCACATTCTTTTGTGAGTTATTGTTTCGAGGTTTGATTGTTCAGACGCCAGACAGACAACCTTTTCCAACTTCCGTTGAAAAGGCAGCATCAACGTAACACTACTGGTCATCTAAGGAGAACACCTAATTGCTGTCACACCCCATCCAGCTAGCAGCAGTACGACTTCGCCCTCAGACCTCCATCATAGTGTAGTATTTTACACTACAACGTCTTACCACTATCCAGCAGGCCTTTCTGACATGATAGGACCTCGACGGAAAAAGGGTTCCACTAGCATACCTCGTTGGGTTATTGTGATATGCAATTCCAACTACCATATCGAGGGAGAAGCTATCGGTCAGGATGCCAAGACTTGTGTAGTTTGTATGGAAGTGTTGTCGTTTTCAACTACTTGGTATTAGTAGCTAAATGACTTGTTAATTGTATCTGTGAATGTTAAGGCCCGAGGTGGCCAGACTAAAACATGGCACCAATGTATGAAGTCTCTGACTGTTGGTTTAAGCCATGTAGACGATGCAGACTAGGTGGTTGGGGTCCGCGGGACAAGAGGAACCAGTGGTTGGAGACCCTAGGTAACATGGTTCAGAACCGAAGTCAGTGGCGCAGATGTATACACACATTATCCTCAGCTTAACAACGCTATACCGAATCTCACCATTTTGTCACTCCTCCTTCTTTTCTTTTCGTACTTTATGTTTCTTTTGACTGCATTCACTTATCTTCATCCTTCACCTCACTACCTTTTTACTTGATGTGCTGATATGAGGTGTGGCAACTCGGACCGTTACTCAGTAATGCCTGGTCCTATGTTGATAATGATGTTGTGAATGTTAATATTAGACAAAGAACTTATCGTTAGTTGATTTCAAAAAGGATTTCAGAATTAGAGTGTTCAGCTTCTAACTCAAGTTTTAGAAACTAAGTGAACTAATTCACAATTTTGAGAAAATCAAATTGACATATTGTCCAAAAATGTCCGTCGCAACAAACTGAAGTCAGAATCTACACTTTCTTATGAATCCAAATTATCGAAAATAAATGCGAATGGAGTGTATCATCTTAACTTTGCGGAATAGGGAGAATTCACCCACTGAGTTATGTAGCATACATGTGACCAGCCAAGCGTATTGGAAGCCAGTGTTTGTGTAGCTGTCTGGTTAAAAGCAGTATGTAACCAGAATCGAAAACTAGTTTGTCAAACTAAGTAATCTGTGTGTGATTGAATTATTTGAAGATAGATCTCATCGCTAAATAACGTCTTCTGGAGCACCATTCAGAACCACAAGTTGTTAAGCTGCTGTTTTGTCTCAATTTACTACTCTTTAGTATCTCTGGTTCAAATCATACGTCTAGTTTCTCCGGAGGTTTATATATAAGCGGTTAATCAATTCTTGAATTCACTGAGCTTAAGAAATTAAACAATTAAAATAACAACGTGCTTGTCCCAGCAGTCCTGTGCTTGTTCCACAGCTTTGTATTTGCTCACTTCTAAAAAGTCCCAGCTAACGGTAAAACACTTGTCTAGTGGTCCACAGTTTCTTTACTGATGTCGGTTTGTGGTGGAAATCACCTGCTTATTTCTTGATCTAGCTGGAGTTTCTGTCCCAGCAATCGTCCCTTTTATTGTCTGAAGCTGAACCTAACTAGTGAGATGTACTTTATGCTACTAAACAGGAGTTATCTTAAATTTTATGTTTATCTTTTGTCTTCAACTTTTCTAAGAATCGTTCACTTGTAATTCGGTTATAGGTATATCAGAACTTGTCCTCCCCTGCGCTTGTTGTGGCAAAACATTCTCTGCCAAACATGGTCTGGAACGTCATATGCGACTAATACACGAAAGTGAGTGTTTCAACACCTAATAACTAAAATATTGTCTACAATACTCATTGTTACCTTCAACTTTACAAACTAGGTGCTGAACTATGTATTTGCCCATTGTGTAATCGAAGTTTTTCAACGAAATTCGCTTTCAATCGTCATACGAAAACTGTGCACTCAGGTAAGTTGAACAACCAAAAACGCAGAGTATTCTTTTTTCTCCTGCTACCCATGATTTTAGCGAAAAGTAATGATTGAGATGAATACTATATTAATTGAATCGGAACCACAATCTATGATATGCATACTGTTTCAGTTTCTGTGATTTTATCTAATCTAACTGTTGGTTTTTAATTATAGACTGATATGTCACTATATTTCAGTTGAGGTTATAGAAAGTGAACTTTCTAAAATCTTTTAATGATGCGATTCTGTAATGTTAATTGATGAGACTGACCAACTCCCACTATACTCATCGTTTGCACTACTGCATATCCCTTGTTTTCCAAAATACTCAAAAAACAACATTATTACCCTGATATAACCACGGAAATATGGTTTTAGTCAGTACTTTCAAATTCAAGATCAGTTGATTATTATTCATTTGATAAGTGGTTACGGTGTGGATTGAAAGACATTTGTGGATTTATTTGAAAAGAGTTCCTAACTTTCATACTCATCCTTGCAGACTTAAAGATACAATAAATTTCTAACACATTTTCCCACTTTCCATCATTGCTTAAGTACCTAAGGTAGGATACAAAGCTCAGTGGAATTTACCATGCGTAACTAACACTTACGCACACTTGCTGTGTGCTTAACAATATACACATAATCAAACACGATATACACCCTTAATATTTACTTTTGTCAATTTATATAGATTCAATTAGCCTGTGCTCACCGTGTAATATGTTATTCCCATCGAAGTTCGCTCTTCTGGAACACAACTTGACTGTTCATAATAGTAAGTCACTTTTATTTGCCTTTTGTTTATACGATGTTGTGAAACTTACATTAATTTTGTCTATTTTGGAAATTTCAGCTTCAAAGGCGTTTGCCTGTCATGAATGCTTGAAATGTTTTCCTGATACAGAGTCACGAAGAAACCACGAGCAAAATGATCACGCTGGTAAGTATTCACCTAGCAATGACTGACCTGTACACTACATCTGTGAACCTTTTCTGAAACGGATAACTGAATCAGGATGATGACCAGTGTAACAGATGCAGGTGTAGTAGTTTTTCTAACGAGTTGAGTCGTGGTTTAGATAAGACACATGATCTCATTGGAAAGGGGATTTTAAAATGCAGCTCAACAACGCAGGCTCATGCAGTAGGCAACGGGTCACACCTATTGTGTTAAGACTGTTGATACTACCTAGCTGCCTAGACCTCGATAAGTGAAGCTGGATCTGGAGAGGAAAGTAAGTTGATGAGGCTGTGGATCTTCAACAGCTCAGGTAGTTGGGACATGTGTCACACATGCCAGGTCACCCTCTTTCTCATCGCACAATGATAGTTGAAGTGGGCTAGGTCGGAAAAATGTTAGGGGCAGCCAAACTAAAATATAGCATCAGTTCATTAAATCTTGGATAGTTGGTCATGTATGGAAATGTAGACTTCCCGATTAGAGCCACATAATAACAGAGAAGCCAGCGACTTGAAACTATAGTCGATATGGCGCAGAATCGATCTCAGTGGGGTGGTCGTATTCACGTTTCATCCTCATCTCAAGGATCATGTGCAATTTAGTATCTTCTTATTCCCATTCGTCCTTGTTATCTTATCATGACTTTGCTTTTTTTTATTTACTTATCTTTAATCTCAGTGCTTTCTCGCTCGATGTGCTAGTATGAGGTGTGGCAACTTAAACCGTTACGCAATAATCCCCGTTTCTGTAATGATCGTGTCTGTCCTGTTGTGCTTCGTCTAACACCGATCTGTGACTCGTTGATCTAGACAAAAGATTTTCATACAGTAAGTTGTCAGTCCGAATACCGCTTCATCTAACGAGAACCAGCCAGCCAGGTATCATCATTAGTGTTATAGTGTGGAGCAAGATTACCGTAAACCGTTAAAGCCTTCTCCAACCAATCACTTCGCTTCGAAGTTTCAGGAAAAAAGACATGAACCAACGTGTATCAGGTTGGTTGAAAAGATGAAAAGATCAATCAAATCTAGTAGGCCTGGAAAATAGCCAAGGCTATGGTAATATATATATCTTGTATTTTATATATCATTGGCGTTACTGTTGTAAATACACCTGTTACATTACCGCCTTTTTCCATAACGGAGGAAATGAGCGACCATTAAGGGTGGAATCCGAAGGTATTTATTTGTACACGCGTCCACATTTACATAATTCATTGTAAAGGTATAAAAAGTGGCTCATACAATAGGTGTTTGTCTACTGCTCAAGTGTGCACTTGGTTACTATGTTTCGATTCATCGCACGCCGGGGCAGGCGGTAGCTTGGCATGTGCAACGTATGTACAGGTAATCGCAGTGGGAAGTTCATAACCGTATAAACTATCTTCCTTTTCTTGAACAGTACCCTATACGCAATCTCAACATTGTTCAAGAGGCAATTCGGCCAATACTACGAAGGCAGCCGTATGAAAAACTTGTAGCCTTTTCAAACATGTTACTTTCAACGGCAGTGTTCTAGTCTTAAAAAACCATAGCTGAGCCGACTACTGTGCAGTATAGTCATTCTTTGGTGTTAAGTCATGTATCTAGCTGGCGCTGAGCTGGAAAATGCCAGACAGGTTTTGTGTATCCGACCTGAAATTTTGTCAGCAACCGACGTATTAGAACTGAAGCTACTCCCCAGGTAAATGAAGTGGTCGCCATATTCCACCACTTAACTCGTTATCCTTAAACTATTAGTTGGTGCAGGACACTCTTGAAGCATCATTTCCTATCGAACATTATACTAGGATTACTTGGAACTCTGACTCTAACGATACCGCCCTGATACCTTCTCTAAGTGTTTGAAATGATTCGCGACTAACTAGAAAACTGGCACCAAGATCTCTTAAAGTAAATAATCAATAACACGATTATAACTCGAACCTGTTTTTAACAATGAGATCCGGTTTGTCGATTTCACTGATTCTCGCTGATATATGGCTTCCTGAACGCAAGTGATGCATTTCCACTTCAGCTTTGAAACAACGGTAGGACCACCTATACATACCCATATGCTGGGTTCTGATTTCTGCAGTAATGTTGAGGAACAACTCGCTCAATTGGAAATTATCTGCTGCCTGATACAATATAGCTGAGACATAAATAATGTCCAGAGCAACTTTATTTGGTTTGCCGACAGAAATTTCGAAGTGTTAAACTTTTCCGCCAAGCGCAACTAGCATTCTCAACCATTCATATTACACGTAACACAACAGTAAGTGCATTTAATATATAACCGCAAAATTTGATATCTTTGACTTCATATAGAAACTGCTTCTTACATTAAAAACTTAATCGTTTTAAAAATAACTGAATTCATTTTTTTATGCAGTTGGTACGTCCAACATGTATTCGTCAACGACACAATCATCATAAAATGAAACGCTCCTCAAGGTATAAGATGAGCTGCTGCAATTCCACTAAAACTAAATCAATGTATAGAGTAGCTTTGTAAATTGAATTATTTACAGTGGGATTTCTATGCTTCTGGGATGTATCAGACGCCTTGATCATGTACATAAACGTAATATCACTATATTCAGCTTTTTTTCATTTTAATCCAGTCTGTGAATCGCATATTTATTTATATACTTCCTGTTTGTGCTTATAAATTGTTTTAAAAAGTAAATATACTGGAACTGCATTGATGTGGTGTATTATTGTATTTATTGGAAGAAGCGCAGTTGACAGTTACTGTTTCCTAGATGAACTTTTTTTCAGGTTTCTTTTATTGGTAAGTGATTTGGAACATGTTGGACAAAACCACCGACCTTTCGGTGCAACAGTAAGGTTGACACAGGCATAATGAAACCATTCAAATGGACAGTCTGGGGCGTCACAGGCTATCATATCACCATAACTTACATCGCGACAAATGCAGTAACGTTTGTAATCTTCATCATCGTCGTCCGGACGACCAGTGCTATTTTCAGGTTTGGGATTACTGTTGAATTCATAAGTGTGGTCATCAAATGCATGCATTGGTGTTGCGTTAACATCACAGGTAGGCGAATCATCAAGCTTCTCCAAGTCATCGTCGACAAGGTCACACGGTAACCCTAGTCTATCAAGTTTCCGGGGGTATCGACGTTTCTCTCGGCCACCGGAAAAAGTTGGTGTCAAACCCGGCCAGGGAGATGAAGCAATATCTTCTAAAATCTGAGTGTCAATTGAAGTTGATCTGGGTGTCAAATTGAGTTTATCACGATCTAGCAAACCACTTTCCGCTGCATCATAAAACAGATGGCTATTGGATGAGTTGTTGCTTCTGATCATGCGATCGTGCATTCCAGAATGAGATTTAGAATCAAGCGAAACTTCTTGCAGCAAGCAGGGATTGCTTTTCAGAATTGCAGGCTGAAACCCTGAACCTATATTTTGAATGTTTATAGCATCTTCCTCGAACTTTGTAACAGCTGCTGGTAGACCCCTGCAAAATTAAAGGTAGTCGAAATACCAAGGCTACAATCAAAGAAATAACACATTGAAAGACTAATCGAACATAGTAGTCCATCCCTTTTAGATTTGTTTATTTGATTTACAACACGTAGTAATACAGTATTATTTATTATAATCATACCAACCACTGATGTGATTATTAGTAATAATTTATGCTCGAAACGTCATCAAGTGAATAATGCTGTATCACCATGTTATAAATCAGATAAACAAATCTAATATGGAATTAAATTCTACCAGTACCCAAGTTTTACACTCATATTGATGGTATTTGATCCTGTGACCGCTTGGACGACAATGTGACCATTTTTCTCAATGATATGTAGAAAGGAATACATCAAAAGTGTGCACTCTTGTTATGAAGAACAGCTAATTATAGTATATAGCAGTCAAGCGGTATTCAAGCGAAAATGAATATTAAGTTTGTTTTGCTCTCCAGTGAGGTTTGTTTACTGATCCAGTGGTGCTTACCTTCACGATGCTATTTAATATCGGTACGATCATCCCAAACTACCAAGTTTATTTAAGAATCCTAGTTGCTAAACTTTCAGTTAACATTGAATATGCAAGTGAAAATGGACCCAGTAAAAGTCGAAGGTCAGTGTATTATAGCTGTCATCAGACTTTCAGAGTAAATCAAGAAGAGTAGTTGATTTCCTAATTAGGTCATAAAATAAGTGAAACTACCACCGATTTGTTACTCGAGCAACATTAAAGTAATTATATTTCGTCAATCAAATCATAGCATTTACACAAAAATAGACCGAACTATCTGTTCGAAACTACCTTGAGGTTTATATAGTTCCTCAATGGTCAGTTGGTGCAACCGTTTACATGTGGTACTTGGAATCGTTAGGAATGCCACGTGAGGTATCCAGTATTTACCAAAACAGTACCTAAGCGGAAAAAAACATCCGCTTAAGACCAACCTAACATTTTGAAGGCTTTAAAAATTCCTACTGTTAAAATCAGAACAAGATTAGATCTTAGCATTCAATATACATTGCTTTACCTATATAAGAATTAAACCAACGAAGACCTGTGAACCAATGGTAACAGGGTATATATATATATCAAACTAGTGTTATCAATTATACTAGCGGCGATATGACATGATAGTGCAGACGTTCTAACAATCAACCTTGGGAAAGTGAGGATTGTATCATACTAAAAGATGAATTGCATGGTTACTCAAAGTCCAATTTTTTCCTGAGCACAAAGACTAGGGTTAGTTGCTCTTGTTTGGATAGCTTTAACTGAATAAAAGTCGAATATGAATCCTGCTCACAAGTTTTAGTCGAATACGATAAGTTATTTAGTAACATTTCTGTTATGAAATTCATCACGTCAGCAGTATGCCTTTCCCCCCGTCCCCCCACTATAGAAACTGGATTATTCAATGGTGGAAGCTACTTTTAGTCACTGGATTATGCAGACCCGATAGGAGCTTTCAGTGGTTAATTGATTTGGAACCTGTGATTTCAAAGTCAACTTCTTAGTATACCAGTTTTATATGTAGTCACTAGAAAACAATAAAGTAAAAGACTAACCTTATTTAACAACAGATACTTGCTTATGATACGATGCTTACTAAGCTTTGATGTCTGGGTTTATACTAAAAGAAGGAAGCTGATATACTCAAGATAAGCATCCTTTTGGAAAGGAGCATTATTGTGACACAGGTCGATTAGCCTTTTACTAATAGCTGAAGGAACCAAATAAAAATCGACTAGTCGCAATATGTTTCGCAAGAAATAAAACACAAGAGTTATCCAATTGGTATTCAAACAGATAACGTCAAAATATAGTATCTACTGTTAGGAATTAAACAGTGTGCTTGTGATCAAGTGTCGTCGAAAAGCCTGCTAGCGAATGAATTTGAACTAGTGCTAGGATCGTATCGTAATTTTTACTAGCAGAGATCTCTGTTAAATTGTAAGATGTCTCACTCCCTTTTGATCATTGAATTTCAGAAAAAAAGGCCGGTAAACAACGAACATGAAGCTATTATTTATCAATACGGGTTGCCAGACTTCAAATTAGCATAGTGGAGGGAAGTCTACAGAAATTGCGAAATGAGCTACGGATGAATGAATAGGTGAGACAAGGAGCAGTATGTGTAGGGTATTAAAGAGCTAGATGAATATGCGACGTTGATTTGTTTGCTCTTGGCTATTTCATACAAACATGACAAATTGCACACAAAACATAGTGTGATTTCATTTTCAGTGGGTATTTAGAACAGGTACATATTTTGATCGTCATTTATGCACACTGAACGCTAGAAAGATATCAGACAGCTATGAACTGTTGAGGCCTTCTAGTAACTATAATAATAACACATAAAGCTGAAGATGACTTAAGCACCTTTTTAGTTTTACACTGTGATCTGCTGTGCAATAATCACTCAAAATGATTGATGAAAAACTGAACTTACGTGGTGTCGAAGGTTCTGTCATAAGAACTGTCACTAGAATGGTGATCCAAGCACATAGTATCTATGTAAAAATATTTTTAAAAATGCTTAACGAATACCAGACAAAATCATGATTAAAGTTATTGGTTCAAACAGTCTTGTCTTTTGTCATACAGTTACTGTTTACACTCTTCATTAAGTCAGGCGGGGTTCTCTAACCAAAACCGTGACATAGGACTATGAACGTGTGCTGTATTTGTCAGACAGGCATTCAAAACCCACCTTTTAAGTTTTTGCAGATTCCTCCGCTGGTTTTCGTGGTCTTTCAGATGTGGATACAGCACGGAAGCTATACTTTCTGTTGGAACCCAGGTGACAAATATCTTTGAGCTGTTTCACTGAACAGAATAAAGTTTAAAAAGCGCAACGGAACATGTCGTCTCTTCGTAATTCCTCCGTAAGTATTGACTGTAGTTCAGGTGAAGTGAAAGATAACCTCTATCGAAAACTATCTAGCCTCTGACTGAAAGCCAAACATCCAGACGTAGTTGTAGCCGGCGACTTCAATGCATATAATCGTAAGGTTAAGCCAGACAGAAAGGAACTTAAGTGGCACTTTCGAAATCCGAGCCAGACTGACGGATAGTGATTACCCGCTCCAATTGTGCTAAGACAACAGCCCCAGCGGTAGACGCAGAATGGGCACGTCGTTGTCAGTTACCGCTAAGGCAGGTTGGTAGGAGAATGCAGCTCTTTTTAGATTGAGTGTTTGAACAGTGATCAAAAGAGGGAGGAAAAACTTGACTAGAAGAATATTCTGACCGCATCTCGATGATGAGTATTCTAAAGCTGCTTTGAACCAGTAACAAGCTAGAAAATTATCGGGGACATGAAGTACTACACATTTAAATAAAGTGTAGTTTCATATTCAGTCCACTGTTAAAACACAACAGTGAGAATCGTAGGTGACCCTAAGAAAAGGGCCCGTGAGTATCAGTAAGTTCATCTGAATTATCACACGTGTTTACGCACTCCCAAGTAAAATGAGGAGAGAAGCCAGTTCAAATGTGGTCTGACAGAGTCAACACGATGATTGCGATCATATGTGGGCTATAAAAATGGCAACTGCCGACAGCTAACAAAAAATGTTATTCAGGTTTGTCGAGGAAATCAGAGTAAAAAAGTCGATGTTTAATAAGACTATAGTTAAAACCAATGAGGCTGTGGCTTCCTCAAAGAGAGACAACACGAGCAATGAACAAGGCACTTTGTAGGACAGCTCAAATGGCACCCACCTACCCTTTGGTAGAACGTTTTTGAGTAGCATACCTGCGACAACACTGAGATAGGCTCTCCAACTCTCACAGGAGGTAAAGGTGTAAGTGATCGAAAATGACGAATAGTGGTAGGTATATATGGGCTTTGTTACAGAGGTGCTTAAAGACAGTGGCCGAGGATTATTGATTGAATAGCCGAAAGTGCTAGTTAGAGAGAGAGAGAGAGAGTCATAAATATTAACCACAGGGAAATTAGTTCGGCCAATAGTGTTTAAGATCGAAGGTTCTAAAGCCATCAGACGTTTAAGTGAGGTAAGGAAATAACAAAATCGAAGAAACCAGTCAGCTTTCAGATCTGAACGTGGGTGTACCCACCAGATATTTACCATGCATCGCGTTTTGGAACACAAAAACGCCGTCACAAGCTGCATTTCTTAACCCGTAGATGGCATTAAATTATGTCGGTCGAGGCGTCCTATGAAGGTCTCTCATACTGGAAGGGGTGAAAGGTAAATAAATGACTCTATCGAAAGGTTTATAGATGAACATGTGTATAGTAGGACCTATGGTGCACTATCAACTCACTGCTCTATGCTCACTGGTTTTCGTTAGTGGTGCCTACTCAATCTCTTTTTATTTCACTTTCTCAAAGAAATTCTGATGGCGGTTTTCCTCCCCTTGCCTGGTTTTATGGGAATTAACATTGTTACAGATTTTTCAGCTGACCTTAAGTGCATAGATGACATAATTCTGTTACATATAGGCGCCGACAGTATGCAGTTTTCTGAACACTAATAGCTATAAGTTGAGAATGTTTGGATACATTTCAAATGCAAAGTGTTGCTTCGGGGTTGAACTGAGTTGGTCTCCCGTCTAACAATAGACAGTTAAGTGGTTGACCACATCCACTACTACATTTACTCGGAATATCTGGTCAGTCCTAGTTCATAAGAGCCCGATAGATACAGAAGGTTCGATTGACTGTCACCAACGTTTGGTATGCGTGGTACCGATGACATATCTGATTGCCTACTGAGCACCAAGTGTACTCCCCATCTGTTCGCCGTCCTACTATCTTGCTGTGAAGCATGGTGGAAAACATGAGAAGGCTTGAAGCATTCGACTACCATAACCTTCCCAGTATTTCCTGTTTGTCGTGCAACCACCTTACTAGTAAAATATACATGAGATGTAGGGTTTTGGGGAGGGAAGGGAGGTCAGTTGATGAGATTTTGAACCGTCATCGACTCGGGTGGCTGGGATATGTGTTACGTATGCCTAGTCGCCGTCTATCCCAACATTCGATGCCAGCTGAAGTCGTTTTGGGTTGATTCAAGGTTGGAGATAGCCAGACTAAAACACTGCGTCAGCTTATGAAGTCTCTGACTGTTGTTTTGAGCTGTTAAGGCGAAGATAGACTTTACGGTTGGGATCTGCGTGACAATCGAAATCGACGGCTGGAGACTCTAAATGAAAATGCTCTGCGAAAATCCATCTGTAAATTATCTTCGTTTTAGTCGTGAAACCACACCTTGTTAATGCTTCACCCCTCATCTCCGAACTTTCTACGACTCCTGACTACACTGTTTATCTTGCTTGCTTGTGATGATGTGAGGTACGGCAGCATGAAGCGTTACGCAGTACAGCCAGGTCCCATGTCGCTACTAACTGATATTATGTCATGAATAAAAATAGAACTCATATGCAGGACTGACTGGCAAGGTAATTTGTGCAAACAGATAGAATTCGTCCTCAGTAAACCAAGTAACTGAGAACAGCCTGCTAGATGATCTTTATGTTCAGTGAATTTTGACTACTTTAATAACCCGAAACCTACAACCATGACAACACAGCCACATAAGAGTTGAAACAATGAACCCAAATAGATAACAAGCAAAGGAATGGAGTAGCAAATGTATTAATGAATACTCATCAGTGCTTAGTTTGACACATAAAAGATGCATTGGGAAAATTAAAGAATCGCATCGCTTTTTCCCATCGAAGTTCATACTGAACGTCAGATAGTTGTGTGGGTTGTGAACGAATCATATGGAAGAATACAGACTTGGTAAAAATGGCAAACTTACTTTCGTCAACAGATTTAAGAGGACTCAGAGCATCTGAATGAACAGGGTTTTTCCTATGAAATCCTGTCTCCTGAGAATGGGATCCAGATTTCAAACCGGAGTTAGTGAAGGAAGTTTGATTATTCTCGGGTGAGAAATTAGCCTTTCCTACAGACGATACTCCTCCTGCATGCACAGGTCTCATGTAGGCAGATTTAAGTGCTGCTCTGAAGACTGAACCAACCAACCGTTTTCTCATAGAGAAGCTACTTTTGCAGTGGCCGGATTGTTGAAATCGTAGTCTTTGACGTCTACCTGGAAAAGTATATTAATTAAGATAAAACAAACGTTCAGCTTTCGAAGGTGTTGTCACCGACTTTCCCAGTGCATTCTGAACTTCTACAGGGTGTAATTTTTTTCTTTTAGAAGAGATATACTTTTTTCTATTTGCTCTGTTATGCCTGAATTATCCGCCTCCAATTCAAGCCGAAACTTTTCCAATTCGATATCTAGTTTTCTTACTAGTTTGCGATACTTCCAAATAGGAATTATTATGAATTATCATACTGTGCAGTAAATATTTTCTACAATATCCCGTTTATCCTTGCAGTGGACGAGTGCACGTTCGTATTCCTGTTGGAATTTGTCATAACTTGTAGCAAAATTACCCGGGTGATATTCAAAATTTGAGCATTTTTCTCATATTCCAATAATTTACCCAATCTGCAATTTTCGAAGAAGGTTTGAATTGTTTCGGATAATGAATGCAAGATATCTTGAACAGGGACAGTGAATTCGTATCAGTAAAAATTACTTTGAGCTTGTAAGTCCAATTGCCGAACATTTGTAAGGCTTTCATTGAGTTCGGATGGCATATTTTCGATTGCTGCAGATCTGCTTGTCATGAAATTTAAAGTTACCTTCCATAAAATCTTCAAAGTATAACATTTTTGTGTTGTGATCGCGTAGAAAAATTAGAAGTATAATCAGCCTAACTCGTAAGGTTGATACAAAATTCAGAGAGAGATTAATTCAACTGCTGATTTATTCAATCGCATTCCAAAAGTACTACAAAACAGAAAGGAATATGGCTAATCAAAACCATTGCTTAATCATTGCTTAAAAACTGAATCCAAGAGGTATTACAACACGTACACAACAAAGATCCTGTTCTGGATTCAATAAGGTATGCAGACAAACGTCACTAACTGAAACACCATATACATATCCAGTAGAGTATTTTTCTTGATATAATAGTAGCAACCAAATAACCCAACGAGCCATACTAGTTAGACGAACTCACTATTGACGGGCTAGCCCACCAAGCATATCGATTTGACAATCCTGGAACTGAACACAACTACCACAGCAGTGTGAATAACTCAGGTTATGTTAGGTATCTGACGGTGTGAAGTGTGTTTCCACGAAGCATACAATACTCCGGTTGCGTCATCTTCCCGCTTTGGTAAAGAGGAAGAGGAGAATGTTGATTCTGTAAACTATATCAGACCGTCTTATGGCATCTTTTTATCCGTAATAAGGTCCTTTAGGTACTGTTTGACTGGTTTCCATGGGACTCTACAAGGATGTAAAGTTAGTCCCTTTACTGTTTAAAGTATCCGACAGAGATATCATATTCCTGGGAACGATCAATCGCCCACATTCCACACCACTGTAACCATGATCAACTCTTCCTATTTTATTCAATCATTTGCGTTGACTTGTTGTGTCCATTGCCAATACAATACAACTTACAGTTTTCTTAACCTCTTACACTAAGTTCATTGCTGACTATTTCAGCCAGCGATGTTTTACTAGCAAGCGGTGTTAATTTTACATTGGAGCATTCAACGTTTAAAAATTAAGCGAAATAGGACAACATGGATCATTTGTTGAAACCCTAGAGTCTGGGAACATGGGTTTATGCTGCTATGAGACACGCATACAGAACCTAAATATGGCTAATTGCTAGGCAAATGCAGCTGGATGACCGAAAAAATCAACGTGAAATTCAACTTACAGGTACCCAGCCAAGAAATATCGATATGACAACTGACACTGGTGCAAAATGGTCCCAGAGAGGATAGGAGTCAGTGATTGAGAACTTTAAATGACGTGACTGGAAATCGCTCACAATGGCGTTTGTGTACACTTATGCCACCTATGGCGCCGACGTGATATCCGATTGTCTATTTGGGTCGCGTGTACTGCACAGCAGTTCGCTCTGTTCTACTGTATGCCTGTGAAACATGGCCATTAAAGGTGGAAGACATGAGAAGGCTTCAGGTATTTGACCACCGTTGCCTTCCTAGTATAAGCCGTATTCCGTGGTGTCAACACGTAAGTAACGTAGAAGCCAGGTGCAGAGTTTTAGAGAGTAGAGGTAGATCAGTTGATGCAGTTGAGAACCTTCATCGACTCAAATGGCTGGGACACGTATTACGTATGCCTAGTCATCGATTGCCTCGTCACACGTTGGCCGAAGTAGGTCCAGGTGGCCAGACTAAAACATGGCACCAATGTGTGAATTACTGACTGTTGGTTTGAGTCATGTGGGGCGATGCAAACTAGCCGATTGGGGTCCGCGGGACAAGAAGAACCAGCGGTTCGAGACTCTAGGTGATCATATGGCTCAGAACCAATATCAGTGGCAACTAGGACGGTGACACAATAAGGCCTAGCCCTATGTTGATATGGATGATGACGATGACACTTTTGGACTTTCTAAAGCTTGAGTGTTTCCACTAACCTTTGTCTTTCGATTGTTTATTCTCACACAACTTTGTCTACTTCGGTATCAGTATTCTATCCACTTGTTCTTTGTATGCCACTGTGAAGTATGGTGATTTAAATTTATGCACTCGTGTGCGAGGTTCTAAGCTGGCTTTATCTGTTTGTATGACTAAATACATTATTTAAAGCTGCAAGACAGCGAGGTTATATCGAACCAGCAAAACCTCGGAAGATGAATTTAACATATTCTTCGTAATGGGCAGGTAAAGTTAAGTTGATGACCGTATTTGTGTCCTTCACATGGATCACACGGAACACATGCATGGCCTAAGACGCCAGCTTTGGTTAATAAAGCTTATAGTTTGGTATGATGGAGAGTATGGATCCTGAGAGCTGTGTAATTTATGGAGGAGGGTTTCAAAGGACTAGATACGCTGTTCTCTGAACTCAGATCGTTATTAAGAGCTTCACAGCTAGCACAAACTACAGATTTTCTTGGGAATAATTACGGAGAAACGTGGTGTGTTCACTTCCTAGTAATTTCTGAAAGAAAACTGAGTGGATTTTAGAGTTCATATAATAATATTACGATTGTGAAAAACCAGATTAGAACTCCAAAGTTTTAACTGTCATAAGAAAATGCACTCATGTCAGATTTATCGTAAGCAAGAAATGCTCAAACGTTTCGAACTGCGCCCGGTTTGTTTTAAGAATTACTCAGAAATGTCAAGGAACCCAGTGTTAGCTGACTGGAAAGACCGAAAGTGACTCTACTACATAAGTAAGCCTTCACACTGACCCAAATAGCTTTCGTAGAGAGACTGATTCTCAAACTTCTATCCTTCAGAGTTGCGCACCAAGGTCACGAAGTAGAGAATTAGTTCTAGACAATTCAGTGCATCTAGGACGTTAAACTGAAAAATACTCGATCTTAAATGCAGGAGGGAAAGCAATAAACACAAGACCAATCGCTGAAGCAAATAACGCGGAGCCATGCAAACGATAACGTTGAAAACCCTTTTGTTAGACCTCGCCTTTTCAATGGCATGAGCTCCCGGTGAAACTAGTTAACAAATATCTTAACTTTAGGAATGAAAAGTCATTAAGTGTGCTTGAAGCAACTGCTAGGTTATGAGTAAAGTTCTCGATATTCCACTGAAGTATTCCAAGGTAACAAGTTTCGACAGTTTTTTTTAGGGAACGTGGTCTGCACAACTGCTAAAAGAAGTACCGAGTGTACAGCCGCCTCTTGTGAAAAGAATTCTAATGCTTAAATGTTTATGCATACTTACCGTAAATACACAAGTTGACCTGATAATCAATAACTACTCTGACAACTGTAGAGTTAAACTTTAAATAGCCCGCTTCCAACGTCTAACATCATCTAACATCCAATATTGATAGTGCGAGTGCGGAAAACTGATAGTTTTGGATCTCTCACATCTAGTTCTTAGGGCTTGGTTTGAGTTACTCAGTTTCCTCCTAGAGTGGAAGAGGAAATCATCTCTCCTTTCTTGCTTTTAACTTCGGTGAGGTGGATGTTTTGTGGGTCAGTAAGTTTTAATTTGTAGAGTAACTGGGGAGCTACGGGTTGCTAGGACGGTCAGGTGACTGTCATGACTCCTGTCTGCGTAGATGCCTGAAACAGAATAGTAAGGCAGTGGTAAAGAATGAAAAGAATAAGGAAAAAACGTACAGTTAATAAAGGAAGAGAAGGAAAAGGAATAAGAGAGGGGATAAAGAAGAGAAACAAAAGAGAGACAAAGATATATGGAAGTCGCCCGAAAGGTAAAAGCAGATAGTGTGTGTCCATTTCCTAGAAGAGAATTAGTAGGTAATGTGGGTGTATTAAGGTAAGAGAACTATTCAGCGACTTCTTTGGAATTGGTTATCTGGAGCCTACAAATTTTCCATGTGATACTAATAAGATCCATACTATTAAAAGCTACTCTTCTCCCCACTAAGGAACAAAGATACAGTTGGATTCACGCATTCTAATATTCACCAAGCCATCAGGACGCTAAAATGCTACAGCAACTGTGGCACACACGGAGTATCATCACATTCCTTTAAATTTGGTGGACCTGATATTCCACTATTATTACTCAATATATTTTCTCTGCCTTTGGAATCTTCCACATACCCTGACATCTGGAGAACATCATTTATCCTGCCTAGATATAAATCTGGTTCAAAAACACTAGCCAGTAACTACACACCAACAAATATTACACCTGTAGTTTCTAGAGTTATGGAAAAAGTTATTAAGGAAAGCATTCTTCAGCACATGCTTAGTGGTACCATCATCACATCGAGTCAACATGGTTTCCTAAAATCAAGGTCCTGTATAACTCGACATCTTGACTTCTTTAACCTCGTAACCACTGTGCGCAACCGATACCAATTAGCCCTTGTACTTTATCTAGACATTTCAAAGGCATTTGACACAATTTATCACTTACTGTCAATAAGTGAGTTGATGTCTATGGGATGTTCTTGGGATGGATTAAGTCTTTCCCCAGTAATCGTACCCAAGTGGTGAGGGTAGAATCACACACTTCAGAACGTGGGCCAATCACCTCTGGTGTAGTTCAGCGCAGTGTATTATGTCTTCTTCCCTTTGAGTTATATGTCAATGACATATGCAGCTGCTTTACACGCGGTAAACCATTCTTGCTTGATGATGACGTAAAAGTTGAGCACACGTTCATCTACAATGACTTATCCCACTTCCAAACACTAATACAAAGGGAACTTGATACAATATCCACATGGCCTGCGGCTTGGAAACTGCGGTTCAATATAAGCATGTGTAGCTGGATATGCTGTGATGTTCCATCGGCGGACATCCAACCACATCTTCGGTCTAAGAAACTACCTGTTCTTAAAAGCGCATTTGACCTTGAACTAAGATATTCAAGGGACCTCACACTTTCGGAAGAGACAACACCACAGACTCGCAAATCAAGGATCCTAACTGGTTGCATAGGTAGTAACTTTCACCCCTAAGAAGTCAAGTTACTGCCCTATAAAACTTGCGTATGCCCACTATTAGAATATTGTCCATTTATATTGAGTGGTATCCGCATAGAAACAAACAAAAAGAGAATGCGTCCAAAGGTAATTTACGGCTAGATTACTAGGACACGGCTGTAGACAGGACTAAAGCTCCAGATGCAGAACCCTAAGTATAAAGCCACCTTGGATGGGACGACTCAAAATTAACCTGACACTTTTCTTCAATGTGTCACACAAATTCACTTATACAGCCAGTGGTGAGTTTCGGTTCTGACACAACAGTCAGCCCGATCTGAGCAACCACGCCCACAGCGTCACAATTAAACCATTCAAACCTGATTGCGCTCAAACTTCACCGTCAAATTCTCTCGGCTGTGGAACAGACTTCTTGCTAAAGTGAAGGCCTCCAAATCAACCCCACTAAAGTGGTGAGTTTGTAGCTTGAGCCACATTTACACGTGATCTGTTATACTATGACTTTAACGTTACCAATCGTTCGATTTAGTACTTTTGGGGGCCAAAAGTTACGTTACATTGCTCCTGCATAACATGGTATTTTATATCGATTATTTCTGCGGTTTAGTAAACCTGTCTGTATAGAAGAAAGACTCGGAGCATACATCGCTTTTTTTCTCTCAGAAACTCAACTTTCGGAGCACCGAACGCCTATTCTGGAACGTTAAAGAGACACCCATTTTGATGTACACAGCGGAACCCAAAAAACTACTGCTGAGAAAACGGAAACCAAAACGAGGACTGACTTAAAGAAAAGTTATTTGTCTGTATCACTTAGTTTAGTTGCGAACTAAAGCTGCCAATTTCGAGACATAATAGTTTTGCAATATACTTTTTCCTGAAGTGTAAAGAAACTTTTGCTAACGACTGTTATATTTGATACATAGGTCGTTGGTGAACCTTCTGTGACTGCTGGTTATTTTACTTGTTCTTCGGTATTAACGAATCCAATAAACGTGTGACTACCACCGCTCCACCATGGTCCAGTCTGACAAACGTATATGTGCTGTACATACACGTAAACCTAATCCCAGCGCCTCAACTAAAAGAACACGTTCACTAAGTGGTTCAACATCAAGCCCCCAAAGAGGTCCCAAAGTTAAGGTGGTCGATCTGATACCGGAGCTACATAACACTTCGCGTAATAACAAGGAAGATTTGACAACTCTTCAGAAGTTACTGCAAGACGTGAATTCTAAGCTTGAAGTTATTCTGCCACTGCTGCATCTTTGTCAGCCTAATCTAGAAGCCAGTACTGAAACCTTATTGAAAACAGAAAGTGTCTTAGATTTCACTGTTAATAAAAGAATTATGTCCTCATATAATGTATTGGTATACAACATACCCGACCGTGAACCGATCAAACAACTAAATGCCTTATATCTGCAGGCCTGTAACATGTCTTTTGCGGAATGCAAAGTTACCCGTCTCCGCAAGAAGTTCGGGAAATACACCTGCCTCTTGTTTTCCGAATTTAGTGGACCTTACCACACCAGACACTTCCTATCATCCAATCAACTGATTAGTGTATCCACACCATATAAAAGTGTCAAACTTTCACAAGACTCAACACCTCGTCAGAGACGTAGTCATACAAAAATACCAAAGGCTGCAAGTTCTAGCCAAGCTCTGGTATCCAAAACAGCAACACAACCTATTAGCGAACCAGTTACTGTACCAACACAATGGAATAGGGAACACCGAAGCCCACAAATTAGTCCACCCACACACAGGCGTAGTAGAGCTGATGACACGACGGTAGGCTTGGACAAATCGATGAGCTACACTTGAAAACAGGCACACGATCTCATGAAGGTGATCTCACCGACCACAGAAGTCGGAAGTCAGTCCCCATCTCACCCCGCTACACAGGCCACCCCCTAAACCAAGTGCTACTCTTTTGACCCGACAAAATAATGAAGACGTTACTACGTCGTCACCAGGTATCGCTCAGCCTATAAACATACCCAGCACCAGCCACAAGCACCCTGTTACCATAGGACCGTCTCGAAGCCTAGCGCGTAAACAGTTTAATCTACCCCCACTTCAGCCAGTGCATAACTTATATTCATCAAATGGGCAGATGACAAAGAGTACAGATAGCACTGGACACTCTCATACAAACCCCACTATGCACTCACCAAGGTCAAATCAATTGCCGAGAAGGAAATTCAGCAGCCAAGCCAATAGACGAAAAAGCAATACAAATAGCCGAAGGACCGTTGCACCCTCGCAAAGCCACACTAAGGAAAATGCTGAACGTTATTTCTCAGGTCATCCCATGGCCAAGACAAATAACTACTCTTCAGGCAATCCGCATTTATTAGCACTTCCGCGGTCACTAGCAGACACACCACGGCCAGACCCCTCAACGGTCAGTTATTGGATAGGGAGCCAAATGGTAGTCACCGACTATGCTCTCCGCCTCATCAATGCGCCGCAAAATGTGGGTCATACGCCATAAAAGGACAAACAATAGATCTTCTAAAAAGATCTTAGGGAATATGAATCTGGCTATGACCATGAGGCATACGGCAACCAGCGGATAGGTGCGCCACACGACTTACCAATCCCCGTTACTTCTTACGAACAGGGTTTTTTCGGACGGCCTACGGCTGTAACGTCACCAGTAATGCAGGTGATTCGGATGCCGTCGGTTCATCTGCTCTCTACCCTGACCATCAGTCTCTATACCAATCACAATGTGGTGAATACCTTGCTCCTTCCGAGGCAAACAGTACCAAATCATCGCCCTGTACAAAATGTCATGATGTCGCTAGCACGATGTACGCACAGTACTCACAAGGAATGTACAGAAGCGCCGACTTTTTTCGAGATATATCCAAGCACTTTTGTACTCTTAACTCGCTTTTGTTTTGTCTGGTTAACGCTCGCTCTACACGCAACAAAATGAAAGAGATTATACTGCTATCTCTGATGTGTGATCCTCTCGTGATAACGGCTACGGAAACATGGTGTACCTTTGATATTTGTGACGCAGAGATCCCCGTCGAAGACCATTCCTTGTTCAGGGGGGACAGACTATATGGTAAGGGAGGAGGGTGCATTATTTATATAAGATCTGACATTACTGCTACGCACTGCCAAACATCTGAGCTAAACGAGATTGACGACTCAGCATAGACTATCGCCAAACTTACTCGCTCCACATCCCTCCTAATGGGACGCATTTACCGGCCCCCTTCCTCCTCAGTCGAATACGACGACAAACCAACTAGCGTGTTCGCTCGTGTGGCAACACCACAACACGGCGAAAATTATATGTGGTGACTTTAACATGCCAAATATAACGTGGCGACCAACCAGCTA